CGCCGCCGCCGCCCCTCCTTCTCCGAATCTCGCCATCCCTCCCCCGACGCCCGCGCCCGCGCCCGCGCCCGCGCCCCCAGCAGCAGCAACACCTAGCCCGCCACCCAGCCGCTGCTGCAACGCTCGCGGAAAATAGTGCGGTTGGTCGCCGCCACCGCCTCCGCCACCGCCGTCGTTCCATCCCGATCCCCCCCGCCCCATCGCCGCCGCCGCCGCCGCCGCCCCTTCGCCACCGTGTCGGGGGGCCGCGTGGGGGCCGAGAGGCTGGTGGGGGATTGACTCCAAGTCGCCCACGATCTTGAGCTCTTCGGCGGACGGGCCGCTCCAAATTCCCGGGTCCTGAGGCAGACCGGGGGGGAGGGGGGGAGAGAGAGAGAGAGAGGAAAATCAATTGGATTGGTTGCTTGCCTTCTAGCAAAATTTTACTACGCCATGCGTGCCTTTCGAGACGGGGTTTGTGTTTGGTGCGAAGGCATCGCCGAAACACATCACATCGCTCCCGGCACGTTTGCCTCAACCCGTTGTCAGCGCGTTGCATCTGCCTGTATCCGTCTGGCGTCTTTTGATAGCGCACAAATCAACGGTGCTAGGTTTGGTGTGGCCTCACCCCTTCATAATTTTTTTTTTAAGAAAACGAACACGAAAACGGCGAGAACAAAACGCCTGGTGCTGTGCTCGGCAGGCCTCTGCTCGTGGGAAGAGCACGAGAAGGAGCAGCCCGAAACTCACCCCGTCGGTTTCAAACACATTCATTGGCAAGGCGATAGATTGCCCTGAGCCGGGCGGGCGTCCAAGGAACCGGTGAGAGGGGACTTGCGCTGGGTTCAGGTTCGGCAAGCATACAAGGAAACCATCAAATCTGCGCATAGAACAGGATGCCTGGGAACGGGAATGCCCGGTGGCCATTATTGGGATCACCATGTACGCGTGCGAATACGCTCTCTTTCATGTCTGTCTCGTCAGGTGGCGGCAGTACTGTATGTATGTAGTACGTGCTTCATCCGGCGCTTGTGGCGCGGGATCTGAACGGTAACTAACCCCACGTTCAACAGCAGCAGTGTTATACCGCAAGAGCTTAAGGTGTTGGTTTCATTCACGTCCGCCGGGTTGGAAATTAGCGGACCATGTTCCAAGCGGGCTACCGCTAACGTACGCCCCGTGAGGGGAAAACAAGCTGGGGGGTGGGGGGTGGGGCGGGGGGGCACGCCCGCATGCCGGGGGGTTGTCAACGACAAACACAAATTCGTTCCAGGTATGTATGCACCTGTACGCTGAAACCACCAGCACACGCTTTGGGACGTTGAAGCACCCACACGCAGCAGGAGGACTTGTGTATGGGCGTCGAGGATCTGTGCTGTTCCACCTCACAACGTTCGCCAAGTTTTGATGTTGGCCACCAGACTATATCTCGATTGGAATGAACTTACGATTGTTATAATCCGTTCCATCCTGAAACGTCTGTTTTTTTCCCTTGTTGTTCACTGCATGTTGTAGGTGATTCTTGAGCACCTCAGCCGAAAACGCGAGCGTCGTCTTGAGCGTGCGATAGCCAATCGGGCAAACGGCAGTGTTTTTCGCTAAAATATCCTCGATCAACAAGTTCGCTTCCACGCAGTCGGAATAACAACACCTTTGTTGCGTGCACCTCACAAAAAAAGAAAACAATACCTGTTGTGTGCACTTCACAATACTGTTTGAAGTTTGAAACCGACATCGACATCGACACACTTTGTTTCGGGGTGGGTGGGTTCTTCGTCATCGGGGTGTTTCCCATCCGGCCGGTTTTTCTCCCACTCACTCCAAAGACTAACACATGCCCTTGACTGACTAGTGCGGCTCTATCTGCTGAGATTGGTACGTACGTATTTTCTCTAAAATTCAACCAACTCGATAACTTATCCCGGCTGCAGCCACCGAAATCACGAAAAAAAATGTTGTCCTGCTCCAAAAGTTTTGTCGATATCCAAGGAAAAATCAAAAAGGGACAAATAACTAAAGTAGATCCAAATCCAGCTCGAAAAGGCCATCGGGAGCACAAACGTGCCTGCCAGCAAAACAAATTCGTGCACACGTGACTCTGTTAGGAAAGGTGCGCCCGGAACGGGTATTCCGACGGCGCTGGGATCCAAACAGTTACCCAAGTATACAGTTTTGAAGGGGATAGACGGGTCTGTCTATAAAATTTATCCCTGTACACCTGGTACATCGGTTGTTCGTGATCAAGCGTCAGCTGGCATCACCGCTCATCCTCAGGCTCGAACAGAGACTCAAGCTAAGCCCAGTGTCTAGCAGTTTGTTCCCCCCCACTCTCACTGCAAAGACTTCAGCACATCCCCTTGGCTGACTGCTGTGGTATGTAGTCTACTATCTCAAAGTAGAGTTTGTACGTGGGACTTTCTGTCTAAGGAAAACCCGCCACGACGGCGGAAAAGGCAACATCCCCTTCTACTGCTGTTGCCTGTAAATTTATGCTATGCATACGACGGTCGTTATGCAGCGGGGATGCTGTCCAAGTCCATCAACGGAGGCCAGGATTACTCTAGGCGTGAAGGCGACAACAGCGACGCCACTACTCTCGGCCCATACGCCCGCGTTCCGATGCACGAAAGTGGGGCGTCTTGCAACAAGCAGAAATCCAGTGCTCCAGAGAACGAAGTACAGAGCAAGCAGGAGACTTACGGTCAGGGCAGTTTTAGGGGGTGGGGGGGGTGGGGGGGGTGAGGCCGGCAACTCTGACCCTCTTGCGGCGTGCGCGTGTGTCGGTCATGGGTCACAAACCTTCAAAACCACGAGTCTACATACGACGACGAGATTGGTGTTCAGTTCATGTCAGCACAGCCAACCAACTCTCTTGCAAAGCGGAGACAAACGGCCGCGTAAGAGAGGAAGCGTGGAGAGAGCTCGAGGAGGGCAAGAGCGCTAGGGTGAGGTGGAGGGAGGTCCGCCTGAGCGAGCGTAGCCGTGATCCCAAGCAAAGCTACCCGGAGAGTGGAAGAGACGCGGCATCCCCCTTAGACCAACTTCCGAATCTCGATTGCTCCTCAACCAACGGAGGTGCGGGAAAGCACCTGATAATTCTACGGACGAAAAGCCCTCGGCGAAATCCTTTTCTTAGAATAGAGATGGATTCGTTGGGTTATATTCAGAAAGTAAAAATAAAAATCACAACATTTGTTGGTGTTGGCCAGAATCTTGGTTGTGGAGCAACGGAGCTTTGAAAATCGGTCTGAGGGGGTGCCAATCCCCCCCCCCCCCCCCCGTTGTACGGGATTACAAACACAGCGGAGGTGCGAGCAAAACCTCCAGACGTTCGTGGTGTATACCGTCATATTAGCCGTTTTGTGCCTATTCAACGTCACTTGCTACGTGGTCAGAAAATGCACATACAATAGCAGTGGTTCAGCGAAAGAGACCCGATTCGTCCAGTTTATGTACTCTTCTGGAGTTGGCAGAAATGAAAATCCGCTTCATCAAGGGGCCATAAGATTGCTCATCACCCTGTGGTCAAAACACAGGCGGCGAAAAAGACAAGAGGACACGCCTGAAACACATTCTCCGATAATTTTATTCGAGAATGGCGCTTAACGCCGTACTTTCGCGTCGGTGTCGCTGCACTTCTCTTCACGCACAAGGGCCGTTATCGTAGGAAGGTCGGTCGTTTTACGGATATGCGAAAAAAACATGACATGGGTGAGATCTCCGTTCCTCCCAGAGGTGGCCCCCAAGTCATCGCAACAACAGGCCAGGCCTCAAAATCGTTCTTCGAGCACACGTTACAACACATCAATGTACTGCTGTAGGTATTACGTATGCATGCAATATGTATCCTCTGGTCCTCGAGCTTCATGGTGGCGGGACATGGTGTGGCCTCGCTCGAACCGTTCTTCACGGGTATCTGGGGGAACTACTAACAATGAGGACGCTTTCTCACTTCCCTACAAGCGTTGGCAGCACAGCATCGTTCTTCTTTACTTCATTCTCACACCACAAAGGATGGACGGGTTTACGTATCAAGTCCACCCGCACCCCCCAAAACATCACCCATCTCAAAGGCCGCTTGATTGTTGCGTTGCGTTGCGTCCAATGTACAGAGTTTTCGAGACGCTTTGCGCCTGCTACCAACCTCACTGTACGCGCGTTGCTCGTACATGCTTTTGGAACGGGGCATCCAGGCGACGCCGCACGCCCCACTGCTGTTCCGTTTCTCCCTCTCCCTCATTCTCACCTGTAGGACACCCGGGAAGTTGCTTATCAGCTGCTGGCTCTCGCTATCGCCGGTGCCGCCACCCCCCCCGAGCTGGTAGTGACGCATGATGAACTCCTCCTCCACCGAAACTCCCCCCTCCGCGTCAACGCCGCCGCCGCCACCGCCGCCGACCCCGCTCGCGCCTCGAAAAAAAACTGGCTCATGCGGGTGTCGGTGAAACTGTTGGTGGTACTGCTGCTGCCGCTGCTGCTGCTGCTGCTGCTGCTGTCTGGCTTGCAAGGCCGCTGCTGCTTGCTGGGGGGATGCCCGCGCACCGCCTGCGGCACCACCGGCGGAAGCGGAAGCTGCAGGGCCAAGGTGGTGGTAGTGGCTGTCTCCCGCAGAAACAGACCGCCTTAAGGACGGCGAAGCGGGCGGGGCCGCGCCAGCGCCAGCAGTGCTGCCGCTGCTCCCTCTGGCAAGGGCGGGCACGGTTCCGCCGCTACCGCTACCGCTACCGGCGGCGGCGGCGGCGGTTCCCTTTCGAGCCGCCGCCGATGCGGCGGAGGCCGTCGAGGAGGAGGAGGCCGGGGAGAACGGCTGGCCTTCCTGGGAGCGAGTCCTGCGGGCGGCGTACTTTGTGCCCTTCGCCGGGCCGCTCTTCTTCTTGACGCTTCGGGTACAGTTCTTCTTTCTCCTGCGGGCGGTTTCGTTTGCGCGGGGCGGGGTAACAATAAAAAGACGGTGGGGGCGTGGCGGCGGCAAGAAGTCAAGAGCAGCGCAGCGAAGGAGACGAGGAGACTGATCGAAAAACAGCAGTCAATCGTTTATGTAGACGAAGCGAGCTTTGTTTGTCGAGGGGGGGGGGCGGGGGGGGGGGGAGAGAGAGAGCCTACGCCGCCCGTTTGTTGTCTCGTCCTTCACAATCGCAACCGAGATTTTCACGCGGCTACGGTCGTTATATCATACCACCAGCAAACAACCAAACGGGGTGCAAGTGGAGAAAACGGGCCGAAACAACGGGCCGAAAAACACGACATACGGTGGCCAAAACAAGCTCTTTTTGGCCAGGCAACGAAACAAGCACACACGCACAAGCACGTTCTGAATCATGGCATTTGTCGCAAGGCAGCGCCGTGTGCCTGAAAGCCCAAGGCAGTGACGGGAAACAACGTGCACCCCGAGATTCGGAACACGTTGGTGTAAGGATGCTGGGCACCGGGCCGGTGTGGCACGTAGGGGTCCTTTGTAGGCAGAGGGCTTCAAAGTTCCACCGGGCTCGAACACCCCAGAAAAAATGTGCCGCGCGTCTACGCCTCACCCCATCCCATGCGCGCTGGCGCGCGGGGCCGGAGTGGTTGATGCATCAGGGAGCAGAGCCAGCCGGCAAATCGAAACTATCTCCAAGCACCGAAGCAAGGGACGTCATGCAGCACGAAAAACACAACCACCGAAAATTGCGATTATCGCAATATCGCGAACAAACAAAAAATATCTATGGCGAGCGAGAGAGAGTCTCCAATGTCAAGAATTCGAAAATATAGATACACAATCGACGAGATACCTGAGAGAGGTCTTGTTGGCTTTTTGCGAGACGAAGAGATCATCGGTAGTTTTCTCATCGCTGGTGTTGTTTGAGGTGACTGGTGTACTCCGCAGATAGATTTTATCTATCTGTGACGACGTATGAGCCCGAACAACAACAACGCGTAGTTATTTGGGAGCACCATTGCGAGAGAGAGAAGACAAATTCGTAGCTACAAATTCGGTACAACTAGTATATTTCTCACCATGCTCTTTGGGTGTACATATGTAGGCTATAATCGCTGAATGCGCGACCCGCACACGTGCGCAATGCGAGCGAGTGAACTCACCTCACACAAAGCTCGCAAGGCATCCCGCCACTGCACCCTCGTTTCATCCTAACGCAGTAGTCGCAAGACTTGCGCATCCTGCTGTCCTCAGCAGGCTCATCGTCTCCGGCCTACATGTTAGTACATAGAACCACACACACATGTACGTGCGTTCGTTCGCGATTCTTATCCACACAGAAAACGCCCCGCAGATTTATAAGCAGAAAAATGAGAAGAAACACCTGTCGCTCGTCATCCAAGCTCGTCGCACTTTTTTCGCAAAAAAACGAAAAAATATTAGAGCACTTCGTGTCGGTGTGTGTCTCGATGCCAGTCGGCGGGTAACACAAAAACCTCTTCGGCGTTGTTGCGAGCGTACCACACGCGTGGCAACACGAAAGCATCGTATGCGGTTCGTGCCTTCGATGTTTACTTGCGCGAGACAGGTTCGGGAATCGTGTCCATCCAATCAGTACTCTACAGGCCCTTGGACACAAACAGACATACTTGCATAGAAGGAAGACGGATTGCTGACCTCAGAACAACCGTGAGTGTATGTTACGGTATTTTTTTTCTTCACGAATACGGCATGATGCAAGTGATGATGCAGGTGCTCGCGTTATGGTGCCGAGCTGCTGCTGCTGCAGGCCACGCGGGCACGCTCGATCCATCGCGCCAGCCCTCCGATCGACGGTAGTGGTCGGGCAGGCCAACACACCCTCAACGCCCGCTCGACTACAGAACACAGAACACACCGCCATCTATCCACAACATGTCAATAGATGCCACATGACACAAGGTTGTTGACCGTTCGTATGCTCACACGCCGCGCCAAGCCGAAATTCGACCGAGCTCGCTCTTGTCTAAACCAGACAGGACCACATGCTGCTGCCATGACCCCCATGACCAGAGAGCTGATTGACAGCATGGCGCCGCGACCGGTACTACTTTTTCCCGAAGGCCGCGTACTCACGTTCGACGACGTAGCAGAGGGTGGCGAGGCTGTTGATGATCTTGCTCGAGAGGCGGCAGAGCTGGGCGCAGGCGAGGCTATCCTCGAAGAAGACGAAGAAGAAGACGGGTGCACTTCTCTGGAGGAGGTCCCCTGTCGCGTGCGAGGAGCTTCCTCGCTGCTCATGAATTCGAGTGACACCGCTTGCTGTCAGTTTGGTCGAAAAAAATGACAAAACAGCAGCAGGGGCGGCAGCAGCGGGAATAGTCTGATGTGGGTCGTTGCTTGCGTAGCCTTTCCCAGCTGGTATATCAACTTTCGTCTCCAGGAGACGCTGGGGGATGGGAAGAGAGAGATGGGTCCCGGTCTCGTGTGTGGCTCTAGCCTCCCTTGCTGACTCTTCGCTTCGTGTGCGCTGGACCTGTTTCTATCATTTGTATCACCCGGCGCGGGGGGGGCAGAGCCACGACCGACTGCTGCTGCTGTGGCTGTTTCCAATTCTCCTCGGAAGGGGTTGTCTCTAGCGAGGCGGGCGAACTTTCAGTCTAAAGATCCACTCTTTGTCGTCCACGGAAGTTTCGCGCACGATGCGCGCAACGGGATCTACGACGTAGAAACTATTTTGAGTACTTTTTCTTTTCCCAAGTTCAAAAACGAGAAAACTCGCCATGGATAAGAGTGATGGATTCGATCAGTCAAAAACGAGAACTGAACTGCATCAGGGGGCCGCTGACGCAGAGGCGAGGCCCACGCCACCAGACGGTCGCCAACCGGCAACGGCATCACCAGGACCGCGGCAGGCAGGTTGCCTGTCGACGTGGGTATGGAGCCCTCGCCCCGCACTACGCAGCTACACGAGCATTCAGCATCTCCCCGCCGCACGGGCCGCCTCCGCCCGCATCTCAAGAGCAAACCGCGACGAATAGATACGGAGATGTGTCATCGTAGATGTCGTAGATACCGCTTTTCGACCCAAACTTTGATTGCTAACCGTTGCCCTTTCAACCCACGCCGCCTGTGCGCAGATACAGCTACCACCACCCCGAGCGAGCACCTACAGACGAGACAGGGGATGATGGCAAGCTGCGAAATTGTTGGGTGAGTGGACACCAAACAGAGAGAAAGAGCTCCGGGGCTGGGCTGGCTCCTTTTAATCTAACCAACCATGTTCGTGGTCCGCCAACAATTTCCCAAAAAGCAGCGGAGAGGTGGAACGATCGCACTTGATGGAATGTATAGACAGGTCGGGGGTATACACATGTACCGCGGCCCATGTTCTCATACGTATTCGAAAGGCGATGCTGCGTGTTCGCGTACGCACATAGATATAGGAAATCTGAAGACTGGCATGGTGTGCACATGTGCACGCGGGCATGGTTGACAAAATCCTCCCACGTTTTCTCTCTCCGGCCTTTTTCTGTTTTTTTTTCTGTGTCTCGCCCCCCTCCCCCCAAAGCCAACGGGGGAACCTCCCACCGCATGGATGCACATGTGTGCATGAAAGTTCTGCGTTGTACAGGTGCCGGGCGCGTGTTTCCGTTCATACCCGCCACAGGAACGAGCTGCTATTTTTACCCCGTGCTTGCGCGTGTCCCCCCCCACATTGCGGTACGGATTACTTATGCTCTGGCGCTACCAATGGATACTTTTTGAGCCACAAATGGACCAACGACTCTACCCGTGCGTATTCCGTATGTCTGTACTTACAGTACGCTCCATGGACCAAAACTAGCCTGTTGTATGCGGTATGTTCGTGGTCTCTACTCTGTCCCAACTATCTACAGCAGTACGAGCACGAGGAACCGCCCGCTTGTTGATGACTACAGACTGTTGCTGGACAGTAGACCCCACGGTTTACGTGCGTGGTATGTACTCTGCTGTTCCAACTATACAGCAGTACATTGAGATGCAACGAACGCGAAGAACCGCCTACCTCTGTAGTGGACCAAGTCCTGCTGTACGCACTATTTTTCTGATTCAGTACTGTATGTATCCAGATTTGACCCGATCCACGATCCACAAATAATATTATTTTGCAAATACTTTTTTTTTATTATTATGCACATGGAACGGGTAACATGGAGCATGTACATGATGAGCAGTACATGTAGTATTTTGTATGCATATGCTAAAGCAGCATGTACGATGATTTTTTTGTCAGAAATCTCCGCGTTACCTGCACGTACTATGCATACGTTACGCATGGAACTAGACTATACAGATAGAGCTCCACTACTTCGTCACACAAGGTGCAATGGTTGGTACTGCTGTAGCCAAGTCGACACTCACTCAAGGTCGGGCAACAAGCAGCTCGGGGACGGGCGGTGGTGAACACGGCGAAACGCCGCCTTCGAAACCCGGGGTAAACATGCTGCTACAGAGGCTTCGGTCTCCTCCGCCTACGCCGCCTACGACGCTAGCGCTCGAAATACTAGGGTCCGCGGGTTCGCCTTCAAAACGATTCAAAGCCTGCAGGACGCCGTCTTCTCTCCTGCCTATCGTCCTGTGAGATGCACTCATTTTGTTGTGTTCGTCGAAGCCGGCCTCCCCCTTTTGGCGGTGTATCAACCTCTTCCTCTGGCCGGCGACGCCGAATTTCCCACGAAAGTACTTCGGAACGTGGCCAGGCCCGAAGCCCCCCCACTGCGGCGGGGTCAACCCTGCCGCGCCTGGTACTAGTCCTGGCGGCGGAAGCAGCGGTGAGGACAGCGCGGCGTGCTCGTTGTGTTTGGTGGTCGGAGAATCCGCCTCTTCTCGGTCAAGCGTGGCTGCCGCTGTGGCCGTTGCCCCCGCTACCAAATCGACTGCAGTCCTAGTAGCATCCATAGAACGGACGCGATCGCCACCGACGTGGTCGCGCGTCGAAGGAAGCATGCCACCTCCAGACGGTGCTCTCTGTCGCCTGTTTTTGTTGTTGTTGCCGACGGCTTGTGCTTGCCAGCGTGAAACCACCGGTGCTGGTGCTCGTGATCGCCGTCGTAGTCGGTTTTGCGACGACAATGATACCTCTTGCGCGGCCGCTGAGGCGGGATTGTTCTGCGGTAGTACAGCCGCAGCTCTCACCACCACCACCTCCGCTTTCTCTCGGGAGGCGTAGTCGTCTCGCTCGTCGCCGGAGAGCGGTAGGCCGGCGATGGCTTCTGCCCCGGCGTGCACGACCTGCCGCCTCCAGCCCTGTCCCGGCCAAAACTCATCGCCGTCATAAGCGGCAGCAGTTCGCCGTCCGCCAATGCTTTTGCCGCCGCCGCCGCCGCCGCCACCACCACCACCACCACGGCCGCTACCATCCCCGTTCCCGCTGCTACGGACAGTCAGCGGGCGAGACTCAGCGGCAGGCCAACCTGCTTGGTTCTTCTGGTCGTCGTGGTTGTGGTGGAGGTAGTAGTTGGAGTTTCTCTTCCACGCTCTTCCCACCTCCTCACTGTCCTCCTGCCCGAGAGACAGCAGCGCGCCCCGTCTCGGGGCATGGGGAGATGGGCTGGCGCTCGAATAGCCGCTTCGGTGGCTGCGGTAGCGTCTTGCTGTTTCTCCTGGTATCGGTACGGTTGTCTGAGGTCGAGGGCGCGGTCCGTCTAGAGGCGGGGGGGTCGCCGCTATTGGCCCTCCCCCCCCTCCGCCTCCTCCTCCTGCTCCTGCTGCTGATGATGCTGCTCGACTGGATTGCTGTCGAGACTTTCCCAAGCGGTCTATCGTGGGAACGATGGGCACCAGGTTGTCCCGCACCTTTATTGTTCATGGGCAAGCAAGGGTGTTGAGTGGTTGGTTGGATGTTTGAAGGAGCGCATGAAACGGAAACGTAGAGAAGGAAGACCACTCCCCTCTCACACGTGTGTATGCACGAAGTACGGAGCATATTCAGCTGGAATTGATATGTTGTCATTCGGGCTCCAGTAAATCCGTGGGTTTGTGATGCTCATTATTCCGTCCGCGTTCTGCACCGGTGCCGCCATCGAGAAAGGGTTTCCGCTCAGTCACCTAACCGAGGCCCACCCCTGACCTTTTGCCCAACGCGCGGTGGACTCTGCGGCAGATCGCCCTTTCGCCTCACAGGAGCAGCTGCAGTGTGCACTCGTGTTGCCACTTGCTGCTGCTGATGTTGTACTCCAGTACGTCATCACCGCCCTTGCTTGTCCGTTCCCCCAATGAAACTTACCGGCAATTTCATTCTGACTTGCCACAAACGCCAGATTCCTTCGTTGAATCTTACACATCAATCCAACTTTGTTTTTTCACGTTTAGATTCGCGATAAGCGCTCATGGCGTGTACTATGTAAAATACCCCTGAAAAAGGGGAAGAGGGATCAGGGAGTTAGGATTATTTTCCCCCCTGAAGAAAAAAAGGGAACAGGGGACTGTGGAATATTCCTCTGATTGACCGAACACACAACATTACGCAAGTATGTTCCTGGAAACATTTGCCGACCCCAGCGTTCCACTTATTGGTGATCCTGGCCCATGGATAGTGTTCAAACTCGTTCATTTAACCATCCATGTGGACTTGGAACATGGGCTCGTTGGGTGCAACTTTCAGGACGCATGCTGGGACGCGTGTGACAAGTCGGGCATGTCGCTGCGACAGGAAGTCGGGCATGTCGCGGCGACAGGTATTACCCGCCACTGGTTCAAGCGATTAGATGTTCACACACTGATCAAATGTTTCGCATTAAAACATCGGCACTACGGATGCTCGCGTACCCGTAGTTTACGGGAGACAGAGTACAACAGAAAGACTTGAAGCTGCCGTTGACCGCAAATCAAGAGTCTTGCCCTTCCAGAGCACTCTCGAGGGTGAGGATTGCACCGTGAGCACCACCTGCCCTAACTGATACCTAGCACATGCCAAGGATGTGCGCTCGTCAACGGCTTCCATCAAAAGTCTGCACCACTCCTCGTTCTGTCAGTGTTGGTTGTGGGTGTTGCATCAGAGTCCGTACGCACCGCACGCTCGCGCTGAAATGTTCAGCGTTCTACCTTCTACTGATGCGTGTGGTATACAGTAGTTAGGGTACAACGAACGACATGTTATTTATGTTCTTGCTGCTGTCTTCATATCATTACAACGTGCACCGAATAGGGAATCCTGAGTTCACTCTTGCCCTGTTCCTATTTTTTTCTAGTGGGGTGAATGCATGCCCTCATTTAGCTACCCTCAGGCACAGGAGGGAACAAGCAAGAGGAATCCTCCGGGCAAACAAAATATTGCTGTCGCGGAAGAAGTTTTTTTTTACCTCTTCTTTCTCGAACATGGTAAACACCCGGCCGAGCTGTATCCCATCCACCATAGCGTTGCCATTCTTCACAGTCCACGAGTCCTGTTTCCCCGTGGCGACGATACCGAAAAATAAACGTGAGCCACACACGCGCACGGCATGCAGTGAGTTTTCGTGGCACCTAATCCGGTGCTCGGGGAAAGGGGAGTTGAGAGGGGGGGGGGGCTAGCGGGGTGCAGACCCTTTCGCAGCGTACGCTGGGACCAGGTATGTAGGTACTGGTGGGACCTCAACGAATGCTCAATATGTCCCTTGCACAGCGGGGTATTGTGGTTTTGGCCATCTTGGGGCTTTGCTGCAAGGGAAAGACGCCGGGGAAACGCACCCTAGACTATGGGGGGGGTTGTTGTGCTATTCGCAGTTGTGATCGGACTGTATCGGGACAAGGCACCCGTCCCTTTTTTCGTATAATTATGGATGCGTAGGCAAAGAAACCCATGCCACAGAACTGCCGCAGCACACCAAAAGCACAGCACAGCAAGCGCACGGCACTCGCCTTTTGGAACATGTCCCTGATGGACTCATACGGCAGGCCCAGAAGCGTCAGGTACTCGCGCGACAGCCTCCCCACGGTCATGGCCTGGGGCTCTAGGCCGTCCAGTAGGGCCTGCTCGGCGGGCACGAATCTCGCTCCAGGAGTTAACTTGCCGTTCATGGTAGTCGCAGGCCGCCGACACCCCGCCGCCGCCGGCGCGGCGCCGGGCTTTCGCGGCCCCGTCCAAATATGCGGCGCGTCGGCACCCCTCCACCACATCGTCGGCCTCTGCTTGGTGCCACCGTCGTCGTTTGCCTGATCGCGACCGTCAACGCCATCGAGATGGACGTTGTCGCCATCGAATTTCGCATTGAGGTGGCAGTCGTCTACATCCCCCTCCACTCCCACGACCTCCTCCTCCGCTAACCTCGGACCCCCTCCCAAAACCGCCTCTAGTCTGTCGCCCTGCGCTTCCAAGCCCTGCAGTGGTGCTTCTGATCCGTCTTCCCAGTGCTTCCCCCAAAGTGGGACGAATGATGTATAGAGTTGACTGAGGTAAGCCTCCCTATCGCGCAGAACCGCCTCCGCAGCGAGCGTTTCGTCTTCGACCTGATTCGTGGCGCGGCACCCAGGGGGGAGACAGAGAGGGGGGGGGGGGGGGGGGGACTCCTAATCCTGGATGCCGTAATCCTTTGAAAAAAAAAGGGGGGGGGGGGACCCCTAATCCTGGCTGGCCGAATCCGAAAAAAAAAGGGGGGGGGGCCCCTTGCCTACCCCCTTTTTTTTTGGACCGTGGGTGGGGGAAACACCTATTCCCCCCGGGGTGAATGAACGGTTTTCCTTTTTTTACCCGGGATCCCCCGGGGGGCCCCCCCCCCCCCCCCCAGGGAAAAAGAATTTGGGCTCCCTTTCCTGGAAAAATCCCCCAAAGGGGCCCCCCCCCGGGGCCAATAAATTCCGGCCAAAGAAATCCCCCCCCCTTTAAAAAAAATCCCCATTTGTTTTTTTTTTGGGAAAAATCCCCCCCCAACCCTAAACCAAAACTTTCCCGTCTCCTT